TAACAAAGACCATCGCTACTAGGAGCAAGGACGCTACTAGTGGCTCCTGGCCTTACTACTGGTAACAAGAAGCTACTAGTAACAAAGGGCATCGCAAATAGGAGCAAGGACGCTACTAGTAGCTCCTGGCCTTACTACTGGTAACAAGAAGCTACTAGTAACAAAGGGCATTGCTACTAGGAGCAAGGACGCTACTAGTAGCTCCTGGCCTTACTACTAGTAACAAGAAGCTACGGACGTAACAAAGGGCATCGCTACTAGGAGCAAGGACGCTACTAGTAGCTCCTGGCCTTACTACTGGTAACAAGAAGCTACTATATAGTAACAAAGGGCATCGCTACTAGGAGCAAGGACGCTACTAGTAGCTCCTGGCCTTACTACTGGTAACAAGAAGCTACTAGTAAAGGGCATTGCAAATAGGAGCAAGGACGCTACTAGTAGCTCCTGGCCTTACTACTAGTAACAAGAAGCTACGAACGTAACAAAGGGCATCGCTACGAACGGAGCAAGGATGCTACGAACATAGGTCCTGGCCTTACTACTGGTAACAAGAAGCTACTAGTAACAAGGGGCATCGACTTGAATGAACAATTGCCCGACGGATGAAACTTGGCATACTACTTTTTCTGAGGCCCGCAGACTGTTCAAAGCTTCATTATAGTGGTTTGGCCTACCCTTTTGCTGCATAGCATTGCATAGCATGGCATAGCATAGCAGCATAGGCTTAATTGTGCACTATGTTATATCTATTTTTTGCATAATATTAAGCTTGGGTTGGTGTAACATGATGTGCTTAGGTTTGCCGGGTTGGCCTCTGGAACTCTTCGCGCGGGCCGCAGAATCCCAAGTTCCCCAGCCACAGTCACCTTCTGCACACTCCTTGGAAGGGCGTGGGAGGGCCGGAATCTCACCAGTGGCTCAGGATTTCAGATGTAGTTGAGAAAAACTCATAGATTCTTTTACTTCATTGTCCTCCCTTATGCATTCTTATGCGTTCTAAATAGCCCTAGCAGACTTTGCGTGAGACTGATGACCCGGGCCCACCAGTTCCATGGTCGACGTCGAGGGTCTTGCTCAAAGTCTCCAGTGTCACCTGGTCGGCAAAGTCTCTCAAGCCCAGTTCGATCACGTCGCTGGTGACAATTCGATCTAAAAAACCCGTCTCGTCTCTTAAGAGGTTATCAGGCTTTACAGCAGGCTTTACTGTTCTGTTGTTTTCCATCCTTTTTCTCTTTTAGTTTCAATCCAGCTGCGCCGGATTGGGCTTTAGGTGGTTCCAGTCCGTTCCAGGCTGTTCCAGTTGCGATCGAAACCTTGGGTACAGGTGTTCTTTGATTCTGATTCAGGTTTGAGTTCAAAAGGACGGAAGAGGACGGACCATGAACCTATAGCTTCTAGCCTCAAGTCAAGGAGCCAACAGGTGTAAATCTCATGCAGAGAGAGAAAGAGAGAGAGAGAGAGCGGATAAACAGTAAAAAGATCATAGCACACGATGTAGATGTGACATAAACACGTGTGCTATGATCTTAGACATAAACACGATTTAGATGTGACGTTTGTTTTACGTTTCGATACGTTTCGATGTGTTTTAGGTTTCACCTGTCTGTTTTCTGCCCTCTGGGTCGCTGCACGACAGGTTAGTAGCTCCAGGAGCGCTTCCTGGAGCGAAGGACCGGAGCGCGATCACACCATCGAAGTGTCGTGGTCCCGTCCGGTCCTTCGTTCCCAAACAATTCAAACAGGGAGAACGAAGCGTATCCACTTTCGAACTCATCAACTGTGTCAAACTCCGCCTGCAGCTGATCGTACCAACCATCATCTCTCCTAGAGAACAAAGCAAGCTGCAACCACTTGTGATGACCAGTAGGGGCCAACTGGGTGTTTGTGTTTGAGGTGAATCTGCATCGAGCGACAAAGCTCAAACAAACTGCGACTTTCAGCACATGCCAAATCCAAAGCGCAAAAGGAGTCGAGTGTTTTTCATTGGGTAGTTATGCTAGTTGCGCTGCTTTGATCTCGGACCTGCTACTCTTTCTTGGCATCACAAACAAACACCTGAGCAGGGACGGTTTGGCCATGTGGTTGCATCGCCTTTCAATCTTGACTGCAATTCCGTGTTTATATGAAAAAACACTAGATTAGAGAAAAATAAAAACACTTTGGCTTCTCAGAATTTCGTATATCGAGTTTCTTCTTTCATTCACTGAAACCGTTTTAAACAAAAATAATGCTTTATGCACTCGAACTGAAGACTGAAATGCAACAATTGGTATTGCATAGGCTGTAAGTGGAAGGCGGGTAGAGCATATTCAAGAGCTCATGGTAACAATACTGTGGCACCCCATGAAACGGCTTTCGTTGAAATCACTGTAGTGATTGTTCACCCTTGTGCGACAAAGGCACAGACAAACCCATGGAGAGAATTGTCCGTCTCGAAACTTGCACCAACCGGAAACTTATTAGAGGACTGATATAGCAATTGGTATCATGGGCCTAACAAAAGAAAAATTGAAAGAAATAAATAAAGAAGGACAACCTAATAGCGATGGCCTCCAACCTAGAAGAGAGAAAGAAGGAAGGAAGGAAGGAAGGAAAGAAAGAAAGTGCTGGGTAGCATGCATGTTGGTAGCAAGGATGCTGTCAAAGGCCCTCAGGCCGCTGCAGGTCTCGCGATGTCTCCAGATGCTTTGCTGGAGACGGCACGGTGCAAAATGCGCTTAAATTAGCTGCCCGTGGCAGCGGAAGCTGATTTGTTCAACAGTTGTTCCATTGTTCTCTGTTCCACAAGATAGGGTTGGCTCTAACTTGCTACGTGATGGAGTTGACATCCAAACAGGTGGCGTGGGTACAGTGGGCATGGCCATGGCCGTCGTCTATTTTGAGTTCCTATGAAGCCTGAAGCAATTGGTTCCAGCGCTCTTTTTTCGTTCAGCACCGCCGCTGAATCAAGGTTGGGTTGACAAACAGAACTTGCAACAGGGTCACCATTGCCTTTTCCAATACTGCAAATCTGCCCGACATTCCTTTCAGCTTTGACTTTGACCGGGCCAAAACAAACGTCGTCTTTTAAGCAAGCCTTTACACTTCTCATCTCCAATCTACGGGACCCACTTAGGTCGAAAACTACCGCAGTCAGAAATGATCAGAAAGGCCCAATGATTCGAAGAAAATGAAGGGAAGATTAAAGTGACAATTAAGGCAATTAAGTGTAGCAAGAAGCATCAAGAAGCTATATACTAGGTTGGAGGCCATCGCTAGGTTGGGTAAGCTATTAGTAACAAGTGCCACGCTAGTAGTAACAGGTGCCTTACTAGTAGTAACAATAAGCTATTAGAAACAATAAGCTATTAAGGAAAGTCTCGAGTCTCGAGATGCCTCGAGATGCGTCTCTGGATGTCTCAACATGTCTCCAGTCTACGAACAAGTTCTCTCCATCCCAGTTCTGGTCACAATGACAAGCTGGAACTGCCGGGGTTGATTTAAATGCACTCAACCTCCACTTGCAGCAAGTCGCAGTCCCGTTCTATACACATCTGCAAGCACCCTCACCGAGTTTCAGTGGCAAATAGTGGCAATGACTCTGGACTTACATGAGAGCTTTGCTGCTTTTTCCACCTTATTGAAGACGGACGAAACTCTGGTGAAGAACCTTGCATCAAAACAAAGACTTGGTGGTTGCAAATACCATGCTAGTTAACAGCCGTGAACTGGCTGATTTCACCTTCACTCGTGGCCTCGCAAAAAAGCTCCACAAATGACCAGCTGTGGCGCACTTGCAAGCTGATGAGACAACAATATTGCTCAACCAGTCTAGCTTCTTTACGTGTCCCCCCAAGGGTTTTTCTTTAAGTTAGTTGACCTGGAAGATCAGAACTATCGTTAGCGTTTCAAAAGTTAACTTATGAATTAACATGGCCTGTGACTGCCCTGTCTGCGGTGTTTTGGTGGACATGTGTGTGTGTGTGGAGATGCTAACATGTCCGTTCATGAATCTCAGCAAGCTTGAGATTAGAAAGTCTAAAAAAAAGAACATGCTAACATAGCCCATGAGGAAAATCGGCATGTAGAGTTGTTCAATGCATGTTTGGTCATTGTCAAAATCATTATGAAACCTGTTGTCCGGTTATTCCCCAGGAAATACCGCACCAGAGCTGAACATGTTAGGGACCAGTCCCAAATGCACCCCGGGACACTTATATCTGGAAGAGTGTATCTGGCCTTCCTACAGAGAGCACGACAAAAGAGAGTGTTTCCCCTGAAATCTTGCAGCGCATCTGCAAGTGTGATTAATGCAGCCTTTTAATTCAAGCCGCACAAGAATGCCCACGCGCCTGAACACTACTCAGGGTCGGTCTTTTCCTTTCAGGTAAACACAACCCTACCATGAAACTGCATGGACTGGTAGCATTTTGTGGTAAACTGGACACAAAGTCTGCAGGACATCAAAGGACGCTGTTACTTGAGAGACTACACAGGCTCTGACAGTCCTCGTGCTCTTCACTTCTGGCTTGCATCTTTTTTTCCTTAGATGCGCTTCGCAATATTCATCTTTGTGTCGACATTCGATAAGGTGGTGTCCAAAATCTCGTCTGACAGCAAAATTATGTTGAGGATTCAAAGAAAATTTACATATTCTATATATTCTCTTCTCAGGAATTTCACGGTTTCATGCATTGCCAAGCTGGCAAGTCCCAAGTGCAGCCTGAAATCGTAGATCTCGAGGATGGTTGTTAACCTAGTCTTTGCAAACGCAAAGCTGGCAACTCGAGTCAGAGGAAGTAGAAAGGCAGTGGACATGCCTAAATGATGCCAAATTTATGAACCTTTAGAATCATGTAGGAGAAATAAGTTACTTGTAAGATCTAGTAAGGCTAGTGACGCCGACCTAAGACCACTGGAGCTTGGTGCAGAAGTCTGACCTAACACGTGCACACTCTGATTAGGTCTCTTCGGGGCAGGAAACGTATCACACGTTGGATAATTAGTACAGGTGGCAAAGACCTTGCTACCTTTCTTAGGAGCAAGGACGCTACTAGGTGGAGGCCATCGCTAGTAGGTTGGAGGCCATTACTACTAGTAACAAGAATTGTCCTTCTTTCCTTTCTTCTTTTCTTCCTATTCCTATTCCTTCCTGGGCCATTCAACTTCTCCTCCACGGCACCGCTTCTCAGGATCTTCTCGGAAGGTCTCACCGAAGCAAAGCTCGTAACAAATGCGTGGAGGCAGATCTGCCAGACCTCGCGAAGACACAAAAGCAACGTCGTACAAAATAACAAAAAAAGTCATGAGCCATCATCTCTAGCTGCAACTTCATCATCCCAGAAGCCCATGCACCAGAAAACGAAGGCTGGGCAGCTAGGCCCATCAGAACCTGTTGCGGTCAACACATTTGATGAAAAAGAAAGAAACCAAAGAAAGACAAACAGAGGTCCAAAGAAAACAAAGAGAAAGAAAAAGGAACAAAATCTTGCTGAATGGCCCGTTGACCTACCTCTTTTCCTAATGAATATTTTGCCATGTCTTACGGACATCACGTCAGCATTCCTGTCCTTGGCTCAGCTAGCAAGTTCTGAACGAAGAAAATTTCACTGTTTCTGCGACCCATAAACATCAGTTAGGGAACCATCGATGTCAGGCATGGGCCCCAACCTTAGGCAAGCCAATTAACAACCGTAAAGGCGTCTGAGGATGTGTGAGACTGGAACCAACAGCCCTGGCTAGGACAATACTCCAACATCCGCCAATGAATATCCTGTAAAAGTCAAAGTTGTCACCAACTGACGGATTGTCAATCACAATTGAGGCTGTGGCTGTGCTTCCAATCTGGCTTGATCCTGTCACCAAACAACGACACGTGTCTTGGAATATTTTTGAACATCTTGGACAATTTTCTGAATTTGTTGCCTTTATCTTTTCAAGTGGATGTGTGTGTGTGTGTGTCAAGTCTTGTTCCTAAGGACCTTTGACACAACTCTTTTAACTTGTACAGTTCAGCAGGGGGCACGGCGACCGTTCACCTAGCCGTACTAACAAAGCTGTGGTGTTCGGTTGGATGAGATACTGGAGGCAGTATCTTGCACCTGCAAATGTTTGATCCTTCCTCCCTTCTTTTTGAACTGTGGACTGACTAAGCTGTGACTTTCCTTTTCGCGTGAAGTTCTAGTGCATCCTTGTTGAAACATTCTGCTTGACAGACCCAGTACTCCATGCCGTTCACTCAAGTCCAGGGCTAAGTATTCACTTAAAGTGCTAGCTTAATTGATTTAGCTCTTGCGAGCACAAATCTAAATGTGTGTGTGTTACCGCAACACCTGGAGAATCCAAACGCGATACAAAAAGCTTTTCACACCTTTGTATGCCACGTGAAACCACTTCGAGCTGCACGACAAGTGACAGAAAGGATCGAAAAGGCAGCCCGCACTAAGGGTGGCCTGCGCAGCGACCTTCTTCAAGAGGCCTTCCACAGCCTTTCGGAGGCGCTTTGCCTTTGCTGAGACCTGGAAATATGTCCGCACCAAAAGAACACACCTCACCCTAGTAGCGATGGCCTCCACCCTAGGAGCGATGGACTCCAACCTAA